TGGAACTTAATACCTATACAATATAGAAATAAAAATTAAAAATAGGTACTTACCAAATAGAATTTAAAAAACACACAAAAACAAATAATACATTATATTAAAAGTTTAGTGAAGAGTCACACACTGTAGAAAATTCTACTGGATAAAATAAAAGTTCACGTTTGTGCAATACTGGAAATAATAAAGAAAGAGAATCTTACACAGCACTAAAGACTCACAGTCGAACATTTATTTATTTATTTGATTTTATCATGTGTCAACAACGACATCTAACAGTATCTCCAGGAACTAATTTAATATTAAGTTATAAAATACAGGTGATTCAGACCATGCGTGCCACTCATGTTTTTCGAGAATTGAGCGAATAATAGATTTGAAATAAAAAATCTTATATCTAAATCTACCCCAAGGGATTCAAAAGTGATATTGTTAATTCCCGCAAGTAGCCTACCAGAATTACCAGAATTTGAACACAAATTTGATTTTTAAAATGGAAACCTATATCTTATTTGACATCATTGGAGAGAGTTTTTGAAAAAAAGTAACTTTTACTTAAAATACTTTTTAATATCTCTTACTATTTTCAAGATAATAGATTAAAAAAAAATACATATTAAATAGATTTTGACATATTCATTAAAAAAACTTTTTTTTGTCATAATGTCTTATACCTTCATTGAAACACATTTGTGCTTTTCTTCCCTTTTTTTTTTAAAAAAATTGAAGCGATTTTGATAATTTAAGTTAATTATTTTTGGTAAAAATGATAAATTGAAGTAAATAATCAAAATTTTTTCGTATCTATTATCTTGAGAACGGCAAGAGATATAAAAAAAATTTCAAGTAAAAGTTTTTTTTTTCGAAAACCCTCTCCAGTGATGCCAAATAAAATATAGGTTTCCATTTAAAAAATCAAAATTGTGTTCAAATTCCGGTACTTCGGGGAATTAGCAATATCACTATTGAATTCCTTGGGGTCGATTTAGTTGTTAGATATTTTATTTCAAATCGATTATTTGCTCCATTCTCGAAAAACATGGGTGGCACGCATGGTCTGAATCACCCTGTACATTAAAACAATATTATTACTACACGTATCATAAATATGTTATTTAATATTATTATTATTTGCGCAATATTATTTGAAATTCATGCAATGTNACACTTATTGTAATCACATGCCATTAAATTTGCTTTTATAACTTAACTTCATCGTTCTTTGTGTATTTTTGCCTCATATAAGAACATAAATATTAATAGGAGGTGTTGGATGTTTTGCGGAGCCATAAGTATAAGACGTAGAAATTTAAAACGACGGAAGTGTGTATTAACATGTAAAAAGTTCGATAATTGGTTCGATTAACTGAATTAAGAAGTAAAACCAGCGCTTTTGATGGCAGAAATTTTGAATGATATTTGTGAGAACTTGTGCTTATGGCGGAACTATATTTTTAATAATTTGCGTTATGAAAACTGCCATACATTTGGTATCTTAAATTTTGACTCTTCTGTATGTTAAAACAAATGGTTTTATTTTATTGCAAATGGTTTCGTTTCATTGTATCTTACTGGTGATTTACTTAGTTCGAAAACATTTCTGAAAGTCAAGCTGGGCATTTCTGAAAATAAAACTTGTTTAGAAATACCTGAAACCTGTGGTGCTAACAATCTAGTGTCACACGGACAAAATAACATATTTTTTAAAGACGTTTAATAAATATATTTCGGTATGTGTATATGTTTTTAGAAATTTTGACACCCGTCCGATAACTTGATATTAATATCAAAATTTTCTAGTTAACCGAAAAAATATTAAAAAAAACATTAAAGTGTCCTCATAATGACCCCCTCAAATGCAGTACATAACAATTATTAGAAAGCAGAGAAGAACAGTGCCTATAACCGAAATATACAACGGTTCACATTAAGTGTAGGCCAAAAAGAATGTTCTTAACCTGATTCATGCCATGTTTGCATCATTATCGATTTTAGCGACTCCTGTGGTGCTTACAATCTAGTGTGACACGGACGAAACAACAAATTTTTTTAAAGATGTTTAATAAATATATTTCTGTATGTGTATATGTTTTTAGAAATTTTGACACCCATTCTCTATAGTTAAATAACGACGCATTTTAGGGAGGGTAGCTTCACTCTATGACTAACACAGTAGTTAAACTAACACACTTGTGACCCAGCACCCCTACTTGAAATAGTCTTACCTTGTTACCATAGTCACCTCCAGACGAATGTCTGGAAGAGTTCTTATTTTAGACAAGAACTCAGAGAGAGAGAGAGAGAGAGAGAAAGTTACAATGAACTCACAACCACTGGCCACATAGCAGTAACTACTGTATGTATGTACTAGAAACAGCGTAAGATCAGTTTTACTAAATTACAGTCATTATTTTTCCCAGACCTATACAAATATTTGGTTTAATATTTAAATGGTTAATTTAAATGCTTAATTTAAACTGAAAAATGATACAGTGAGTTAATTTAAACTGAAAAATGATACATTTCCACTTACAAACATTTAGAATTTTTACACGAGGACTATTTTAATTAAAAAAACAAATTTTTGTTCAAAAATCGTTTTTTTAGACGGAGGTATTGAAAATTCTTTAATTTGCAAAGTTGAGCTGAAAGAAAAGGTTGAAAACCTGTAAATTTACATGAAGCAAATTGATTTATTTTTGAAAATTAATTTTGTTCATCACAATGTTTAATCAGTTCCTGGAAATAGCTGAAATAAAATGTCCCCTCTCCCAATAAAATGTTTCTAGCCAGAGTTCAGCTTGCAAGTTAATGAAGTTTTGTACCCGCGATGTTATTGGATCGACGAAGTTTTGACCACGAATACGCAAATATTACTTAAAAAGCTTGTTATAAGTCTGACACCCAGTTGAACCAGTAGGTTAATTGGTTTGAAGCAACGAAATTGTACACTTTGTGCAATTGTATATACGATGGTTACTGAATTCACGCAGAAAAAAAAAAAAAAATGGCGTATCACTTCACTAGTGTTTGGAAATTATCACTTTGTGTTCCTTGTTTTAAAAACTATCATACAAAGACTAATATTTATCTTTTTTTCATTTGCCCGAGATAACTCTGGATAGTAAACTGATAGTGAATTAAATAATTTTTACACATAAAAAAAAAATTACAAATTCAACTTAAAACTTGTGTATTTTGTTTTACTTTAGTTCCTTGTATTTATTAATGAAATGAAAAAAATTGTTAATATTTTTGCTTCAAAAATATTAACTGGTAACGGAAGCGGTAATGGAAACTGGTAGCGGAAGCGGTAATGGAAACTGGTAACGGAAGCGGTAATGGAAACTGGTAACGGAAGCGGTTAAAAAAAATTCTTTTCTGCTAATTAACAATATTATAAACAAAACAAAACAAAACTTTCCTTTCTTTTTTGTAAATGCGTTTATAATGAAAGCGTTAAAATTCTAAAACACCGTTACGTTGTTTAAAGCAACAAATTGCTAGACCGGAGGTAGTACATGCTTCGAATCCCAGAAGCGGTTAAATGTTGAAAATTATATTCAAGAAAGAAAAAAAAATTGGACTTATTTTTCAACATTG